AGAACAACGATTTCGACTCACCAATATTCGCGAACTAGCAACTGATCGTACCCCGTTATTATCATTCATGTTCTATACTGGAGCCATCACATATCAACCAAACCCATCACCCACATCATTATTACAGCATAGTTTTCGAATCCCGAATCGTATTGCTAAAAGAGAATTTATTGCAGAGGCACTTAAGATTTATGACTGGAAGGAAGAGGATTTAATCCCTGTACGGAAATGTTTGCAGATTTTGGAGGCAGAGCATAACATTGAACCTCTTTGTCGATTTATAGAGGGAACTTTACTTAAGCCATTGAAGAATAACAGTGTTAAACATTCAAACGAAGAGGCATTGAAACAAGTCTTTATGGATACTTTAATTCTCACTCTCCACGCAGACATTGAACCAGAATTTCAGGTGTATTAATCACAGAGCTCTAATTTCGGTGGAAAAGCAATTGATTTAGTGAGAACAAGTATCGGAAAAAGGATAGCGATCGAATTTGATAATATTAAGATAGAAAACGTTAAATTGGACAAAACTCGAGATAATTGGCAGGAAGCAACTGAGGTTTCACGATCGTTATTGGAAAAATCGGAGGAGGAAATTTTGAAACTAAAAATTAATGATCCATTCCGAAAAAATCAAAAGACAGTTGAGGAGGCTTTGGAATGGAAGATAAAAACGAAAAGCAGAGAATACCTCGAGCCATTACAAAATCGACAAGATGCAGATTTGAAATGTATGTTTGTTATTTTGAGAGTTGGTTTGCACCGTCTAATTAGCAGGAAAGTTTATGATGTTAATGAATAACGTGTAGAATTTAAAACAGGATTGCATCTTATATTAATCACTGTAAATAAGGTTTCGCTCATCCTCATCTGGGCTTTTAAATTGGCCTTTCTTTTTACGTGATTTTTAATAAAATAATAAAGATTATTTTAAACATGAGTGTGTATATAATCATCCAAAAATTAACGATTGCTTATATTTTCTCGTGTAGCTAAAAAAATAAAGTTTTCCTAATCTCGTATTATAGTCAGTTAATATAACGATTTGTGCGTAATTGCACAAATGATCTTATTTAATCGCTATATACGAGGGAGTGATAATGTAAATTTATTTCCTAAAGCTAATAATAGCACAATTACGACTCATCGCGGTTCGATCAAGGTTGATAAAAATAAATATTCTCAAATGTAAATAAATCAATTCTCGATCACGGCCCATCACGGTTACATCATGGTTGATTTCATATACATCATCGCGTTTGCTTTTGCATGTGTGTTTCGGGATTTTATTGTGTTGTATGGACATCGATATAATCAAGAATTTTCGATTTCTGATTTTCCGGGACCGTCGGTCTCGGAAATTTCTTAGTATAAAGTTTCTTACATGGCATATATACATGTACAGTATATTTTTCTATATTAAACGAACTTTTGAATATATCTGCGTCTTCTATAAAAATGGCAGACACACATTCCAAAATCGATTCATTGAAAGAATTAAATTCGAAGCTCTTAGTCGAAATTTTTAAGCTTAGAAAGGAGAATGCCGAGCTTCCTGAACTTAGAAAAGAGAATGCCATGCTCTTGGATAAAGAAGAAGGGCTCATGGCTAGAATCATGGAGCTGGAACAGTCTGCGAAAGAAAATGCTGAAAAAGAAAAGTTAAGAAATGCTGAACTTCAAAAAGCTTAGATCTAGAGTTGCGAAAATGGAACGGAAACAATTGCAATCTGATGAAAAAAACAACGTTATCGTATTACGAAGTAATGATGCTCCCACATCTATATCGGATGATAATAGCACCTCCAACAAAATGAAAAATTCTAACATTACTCCGACATCTGATAACGCTTCAAATTCTGACTTACGAAGTGAGGATGCTATGACTCAGAGAGTCGCCCTTAAAGGACCCGTATCTGAACCCAATAATGTTTCGGCATCTGATATATCCAACAATACTTCAAATCCTGATATATATC